TCAGCTCTGAGTCAGGCTGCACACTCAGCACAGAGTCTGCTTGGGATTCTTTCTCCCCCTGCCCCTCCCCCCACTGGTATGATCTCTCGCTCTATAAAAAATAAATAAATCTTTAAAAACAAAATAATTAAAAATGCAACTACCGTATGATCCGGCAATTCCACTTCTGAGTATATATCCAAAGGAAACAAAATCCCTATCTTGAAAAGATATCTACACCCACATGTTCATGCATCTTTATTTATAAGAGCAAAAACATGGAAATACCCTGTGTCCATCGATGAATGAATGGGTAAAGAAAATGTGGTAGAGATATATAATGGAATAATATTCAGCCATAAAACAGAAGGAAACCCTAGCTATTTGCAACAGCATAGCTGGACCTTGAGGGAATTACGCTAAATAAGTCAAAAGCAAATATTGTATGATCTCACTTATATGCAGAGTATTTCTTTTTTAAACCCACAAATTCATAAATAAGAAGTACAGATTGGTGGTTGCCAGAAGCTGGGGGGAGTGGTGCAAAAGGTTAAGGGTGGTCAAAAGGTACAAACTTCCAGTTAAAACATAAATATGTCCTAATTAATTACTTAATTAAAAAGAGGGCGTGCCTGGGTGCCTCAGTCAGTTAAGCATCTAACTCTTGATTTCAGCTCAGGTCATGATCTCAGGGTCGTGAGATGGAGCCCCAAGGCGGAGCCTCCTTAAGATTCTCTCTCTCTCCCTCTCCTTCTGCCCTTCTCCCCATGCTCTCTCTCTAAATAAATAAATCCTGGGGATGTAATATACAACATGGTGACTATAGTTAATAATACTGTATTGTATATTTGAAAGTTGCTAAATCTTTTTTTTTTAACATTTTATTTATTTATCTGAGAGAGAGCGTGCACACAAGCACCTGCACATGAGGTGGGTGGGAGAGGGGAGGGAGAGGCACAAGCAAGCGGACTCTACCCCTAAGTGTGGAATCCTATGTGGGGCTCCATCCCAGGACCTTGAGATCATGACCTAAGCTGAAATCAAGAGTGGGCTGGCCACTTAACCACTTAACCAAGTGAGCCACTCAGGCGCCCCTAAGAGAATAGATGTTAAAAGTCCTTATCATAAGAAAAAAAACATTTAACTATGTGCTGCAATGGATGTTAACTAAACTTACTGTGGTAATCATTTCACAATATATACATACATGAAATCATTATGTTGTACACCTAAAATTAATACAAGGTTATATGTGAATTATCTCTCAATAAAAAGAAAAAGAGCTAATGGAGGAAGGAAAGGATAAATTATTACGAAAAACGGGAAGAAACTTGTAATTTATTCACTGAAGGGTTTGTGCTATAGATTTTCTTTTCTCTTAAAAGTATAAACAAAGGTATATCCAAAGAATAAAAGGATGTAATAAATATTACTCAATTATCTGTCAAACAATACTCTTCAGAATATTCAGGATTTTTGTTTTCAGAATATTCTTTAATTAGAAAAGGCAAGACAAATTCTGATCAGTGAAAGAAACATAAGATTATTCTAAAATTAAAAGAAGTATCTATTATGCGAGCTACTCTCATAAATCAAACCCTTACTATTTAATTTATACACATCAGGCTTATCTGAGAAGAATGTAAGGCGGTGTGCAACATTATATACTTAGAAAGAAACAAACCAAGATAACATAAACTAAGAGTAAGACGAAATTTCAAACAGTGGGAGTAAGTACAAACAAATGGAACCTAGATTATACCTTCACTAGCCTCTTTATCCTTTGCCAAATTCCTCACCCACTTAGCATTCTCATCTGATTTGACCATTCCTAACCCAACCTAAGAAGTCCCTGGGTTTTTCTCTCTCTTGCTCCTGGACAGCTGAGCATTAATGGAGAAAAATCAATTAATCACACTTATTAAACCAATTCACTGAACATTGTTGGTATACAGCCTCAGCAAGTCATCTGTGATTTTTTTTCCACAATAACTACTGGAAACTATCTTCTGTCTTCTTAAGCCACCATAATCATCCCAATTCCTTTCCCTTTTCACAGACTACTATTTCACTGAAAAGTCAGAGCTTGTCTAATGTGAACTTACTCAACTTCCCTACTCTCCATAAATAATTACCTCTGTATCTTTATTATTTCCTGTCACATGTCTTAAATCAGTCCAGAATAAGCAGTGAACTGTTGTGGTATGGACCAAACAGAAAGCATCCAGATCTCAAACTAGTATCTCCCAAAAGCAGTGCTGATACTGGAAGAAAAAAAAAAAAAAAAGCTGGACAGGAGGTCCTTAGAACAGTCTATCAAGCAGAACATGGTATTTGAGAAGGGAAGATTGCATAGTAATTTTAGCTAGCAATGAACATAAGGGGTATATGAGTAGAAAGGGTGTTACCAAGTACGCACAGCATAAAGACAGCAAAAGGAATAATTGGTGACATTCAGAAATGTGTACCAGTAGGCTCTGTATAAATTTAAGCCAATAATGGGCCCAATCATGAGATTAGGGTCCAGGAACCCTTTCCCTAAGACAAAAGGACCTTTCTAGTACCTTTTTTCCTAAGAAAAACACTAAGAAGAACTAAATGGAAACTAAGCAGAGGTTAGGCAGTAGTGTGCTAATCTAACACCTAATTCTCTAAGGAAAAAGCTGTTATTTGTAGCACTTCCCAATTTCCGCATTATGCATACTACTAACCATGGTCAATTTCAAAATACCAATATGGCATCAGAGAATGCAGAATGGGGAAAAGATGCATAGTAGCATACCATTACAGTTTTTCTACCATACATATATAATAGACTTAGGCAAAGAGTATAGGTAATAAAATATTTGGGAAGTGAAATTGCTTTAGTATTTATTATCTTTAATATAATTTCAAAAATAAACTGAAAATGTTAAAAGCATAAAGTGCCTCTCCCAATTGAGATACACTAAAGAAAAATATAATTCCATAAAACTTACTCCAAAACTAATATATTCAATTAATTGCTAAGCAAAACTAAGTTAATTGCAGAGGCCAAAAGAAATTTGATCACTAAAAACAAGAAGATATTGAAGACTTCACTTTGCCACAATATTAGCTTCTTTTACTTTAAAACACTGTAACCAATACATAGGACCCTAAGTAGTTTTAGGTCTTTTCAGGACAGCTTTCCCTAAAACAGTCTAAGCAAGGCAGTGTATGTGAAGTTCTTCCAGAAACTTACATACTAGAAACCAGAGCTCTGCTGGCAGAGCAGTATTAGAAAAGTTCATAACCTCATTTAAGGAGAGAACTGCCTATCTCCATGTCAAAGATCATGACTATGACTAAGTACCCTGGCCCTGGAGACTACCAAAACTGGCTTTCAATTTAGAAACACCCATCTATTGGGCACCTGATTGGCACAGTTTGTTGGGAGTCTGACTCTTGGTTTTGGCTCACATTATGATCTCAGGGTTATGGGATTGAGCCCCACATTGTGCTCTGTGCTCAGTGGAGTTTGCTTAAAGACTTTCTCTCCCTCTACCCCTTCCCCCTGCCGTGTGCACATGCTCTCTCTCTCTCAAATAAATAAATCTTCTTTAAAAAGGCAAAAAAATACCCACCCAGGATGATTATTAACACTGCTGATATTCTAATAAGCCACAGCATTTTTTTTAGTAAATACTGGTTTCAAAAGCACATATATAAAATGTATATATAATATAATATATATACACACTCCATTATACTTGAAAAGGGCAGACTAGTAGGGCTGTCTAAAGACAAACTGATAAAAGAACACTATGAGGGACACCTGGGTGGCTCAGTCGGTTAAGTGTCTGCCTTCAGCTCGGGTCATGATCCCCAGGGTCCTGGGATTGAGTCCCACATCAGGCGGCTTGCACAGCAGGGAGCCTGCTTTTCCTTCTGCCTGCCACTCCCCCTGCTTATGCACTCTCTCTCTCTCTCTCTCTGACAAATAAATAAAATTAAAAAAAAAAAAAACTATGAAAAGCAATCCTGTCAAAATGGTTAAAGAATGTAAGCTTCCTAATAAAATGAACAGAGATTGCTTTATGAGATAAAACAATGAGGTCAAAAAAACATGCTTAACAATGTGTTTGACAAACATGACTTTTCATACAGATTACCATTTAAGAACCTGGGGTTTACTCTTTTCTAAAAGTAGAAAGGTAATTTGCCTAAAAAGAACACTGAGGTTTATTCCAAAGTTTTCCGTGTTCTAAATTCTTCCTATATAGAATTAGCCTATTAAAACTTGAGCACATTAAAACTTGAGCACTTGTCTCTCCCTTGGACTAAAATTAAGGATAAAATTCATCATACATAAGCTTTTATCAAACATCTGTAGTAATGTAATATACCTAAGTTAATGAAAAAAAATTTAGAAACATGTCAAATGTTTCTAGATTTGCAAAAGAATGGTTAAACATAACTAAAAAAAAAACCATAAATATAACTAGCACAAATGAAAAATACCAAAGGTAGTAAAAGGATGAATATGGAGGCAAATTCCTGATAAATTCATTCAATTTCAAAACAAAAATGAACCATTTGAGAAATTCTTATAATAAAAGAGAATTAACACAGATGAGACAGAATTCATGCTTTAACCATTGCCAAGATACCACAATAGCCTCAATTAACTAAAAATTCATTTCCCAAAAAAACTATTACAGGTTTATTCATATATTATAATAAATATTTATGACTAAGGTGTTCTCACCACAAAAAACGACAATGGAAACTATGCAAAGTGATGGATATGTTAATTAGCTTCATTATGGTGATTACTTCACAATGTATACATATGTCAAATCATTAAGTTATGTATCTTAAATATATATGGTTTTTTATTATCAATTATACTTCAACAAAGTTGGAAAAATATTTATGAAAAATTTAAAAATGTGCTGAAAACTTTATTGTGAAGCCATACGATATAACACTTCATCTTACACTTGTTGAAACAAAGAGCGAACCGTTTCTAACATTAAAATCTCTTTCATTTTACTTACCAATAACTGTTCTTGGTCTTTCTTGGCATCCTCGTAAGAGGAGGGTCCAGACATCCAAGGTGGTAATGGAGTTTACAGGTATCACACAATAAAAGAAGATGTTGATCATGGTTCTTCTTACAAATTCCACAACTTTGAATAAAGGCAGCAAATAAAGGATTAGAGTAATAATTATCTTAGTGAAACAGCTATTCATAGCGTATTTTTCAAATTTCAAAATTTCACCTTGATTAACTTAAAATTTCTTCTGTTAAATTCAAATATCTTTTCATAACACATGCTTTTTTATAACATAATTCTTATTAGTTCTAAATATTTTTGAGACTGTAGAAAAATAGCTGGATCTAATATAAATATTGCTCTAGAGTCAAACTTTTCAGAGAAAGTCATCTATAAGATAGTATTCTCAACATCATCACTATCTTAATTTTAATTATCACTTAAAACTCATTTAATATTAGCTTAAGTTTTCTCTAGAAAAGTTAACTACTGAACAAATAATTTTTTCAATTTTCTACTTCTCTAAAACTATAAAAGAAGTTAATTTACAAACAAAATTCAGTTTATTTTCTACCATTAATTACAAACCTTTCAAAAAGTGTTGGAACATAAAAATAAGCTAAATTTATAAATAAGACTTTTTGAAATCTGACTTTGAGTCTTAAAAATATACCAATTGTTTTTTTGTTTTTTAAGATTTTATTTATTTGACAGAGAGAGACACAGCGAGAGAGGGAACACAAGTAGGAGGAGTAGGAGAGGGAGAAGCAGACTCCCGCTGAGCAGGGAGCCCAATGTGGGGCTCAATCCCAGGACCCTGGGATCATGACCTGAGCCGAAGGCAGGCACTTAACGACTGAGCCACCCAGGCGCCCCTACCAATTGTTATTTATTGCAAAGAATGGGGCGTTTTACTATTGGTGTTACTGTTACTTTGATTTTTGTTTGTTTCCAAGGAATTCAACTTCTCTTGTGAAAAAAGGAAACTTTACTCCTAGAACACAAGCACCTCGACCTGAAAATCCAGGGTCTTTTTTATATTGGGAACATAAAGAGTGAAGGAGAAGTTGAGAATCTATAAAAGCCATCCATCCATGTACAGAAACAACAATGATATTTGAATTTTTAAGTTATCCTAGAAAAAAAAAGATCATATAAATGCAACAACAACTAGTACTTGGTCTCAATGTTGCTCAGAGTGAAAAAGAAAATCACCTAAAATACATTCTGAAACAAAATGAACTGTTGTAGTGATAAGTCAGAAGCACTATGATATGTGTGATGGTTCCAAATGAACCAACTTTGTTTAGAAAAGCTAGACTGAGAATGTGCTAGTCTTCATATTGTACATTAAAACACTAGTGGGCTTTTCCTACATTTCAAGGAAGTCATTTGCTATTACCTACAGAGGGAGCCTCCAACCAAGAATGGAAAGTAATTATGGAGATTGATATCGTTGTTATTCCTGCTATTTCTGAGAAAGGAAGAAGTTGTGGGGAGAATATTTATATATTTACATAAATATATATAGGTATGTATGTGAATATATACATTTGTATGTGTATATAACTTTCCCCACTTAATATGATCAGTTACATTAAAAAAGTAAGATCCTAACCTATTCATATACGGAAAGAAGTCTTGGCTATGTAAAATTACTATAAATGGTGACCAGTATAAACTATTGAGACAAAAAAGTAAAAAACAAAAACACTTGTGTAAATAAATTACAACTGAGCACAGAAAAAAAGATTCAAATCTAGAACTTATCTTCATTATCCACCACTGTACAAAGACAGTAATTCACTGTCTATGATACCTATCACTACCTAAAAACACATGAAAAGCTCTAAAACTAATTAAAGTAAAATAAAATATAAATTCACATTTATATATCGTTTTTAATTATTTAAGAAAATGATCATCTACATTATTTAAAGTCACTTTCCAATTCCCCAAAGAGGACTGACTGTTCATTTCCACAGAACTTTTGGACATGCATCTCCACCTATTTAAAGGATATAAGTCACTTATCATTAAAAGAGGAGCAAAAATCTCTTCTGTCATTCAACCTAAAAAGCATCTTTGATGAAGATATTCATAAAATGAATTTCAAATGCATTTAACAGAAATTCTAGTACAGACATAATTCATTCACAAATATTTGAAGCATCTTGTTATTAAAAGTTTGAGTTTAAAAAAACAATATTAATCTGTTATCATTTTATTACTTGCCTATAAAGTACTGCAGGAAGAATAGATGTCTTTTGTGTGCCTCCTTCTTTTTTACTTGGTTTTCTCTCCTTGGGTGCTCGCAAAATTGCCGGTATGTTCAACTTCTATTGATTTGAACAAATGCAGTTTATTTTGTTTTAAAGAAAAAATATAAAGCAACATTCTCCTCTATTTGCCACTCAAGTCAACTAAATATGCTAGAATTGTGAAGGAGAAATGTTTTACCAGCTATTATACCAGCAAAAAGAATTAAAATGAGTTTCTGTCTCATAGTTACATCCATTAGAAACCTATATTTACATACTTTCATCAATTTTCAGTGGAACACTAAAACATTATGAAAATTAAACTTCTACTTTGGCTTTAAAAAGTGAAAGACAAGGACAAGTATTTAAGAGCTTAAAAAAAAAAACACACACACACAATACACTTGACAAAAAGAATACTGAAGCAGTTTATTTTCCTCAACATGCCAGTTACACTGGTGCTCCATAGGTTAATTAGAAAAATTATCTTATTGGACCAAACTCTCCACAAAGTGAATGGGATTCTTTTTGGTTTTCTACTAATCTGTAGTATGCTGGCTTCTGAGACAGCAACCATCTATCAAAGTCATTTCTCAGTGGCCCGGTGGGCCGGCATCTGTTCAACCAACTGGAAAAAAGTGTCATGCAAGTGGTACAAATGATTTCTACTTCTGTGTATTTTACATTTGCACAAGGAAATGGGTGAACTTTTGTTAAAGTCATTTAATAAATGAAAACACCCTTATATGGTAGATAATTTTTTACACTAAGTAGGAGATTCTTATGAGATGATCTTGCAAACCAAGCCAAAAGATAATGCTAGCTTGGCAAATAAACTAGTAATAGTCTTGTACTCAACATTAACTTCTCTAAATATAAAACACCATAAATATAAAACACCAAAAAAAAAATCCAAAAATCCATCAACAACCTATCAATAGGAAGAAAGGTCAACTCGTCATAGGTGACTGCTCATTCTCACCTCTTAAATTACGTTATTCATTATAATATAAGCCACATACATCCTGTTCACAAAAGCAGCATCTTCAAAGCTAGCATAGCACAATACATATCAGTATGTATTACTTTCTAAAATACTAAGTCTACACGAACTGTATGATAAATTTGACCCACGTAAACCTCTGAAATAAGTACAATGAAAAACATCTCTTCTTTGATAAGCCTCCTTCACAAATAAGACTACTTTCATTGTAAAAGGACCACAATGAGTCTCCATCATCCTCTAAAATATACTGAAATTATCTGAATGAATTTTTAATTTATGTGTTATATACACAGTACTAAAAAAAAAAAAAGCATTCAAAAAAATCTATTTGGCAATGATTCTTCTTTTCAACACCAAGAACTTTAACCAGCTAAAAATGCTCAAGGATAAAGTAATTTTTGTCATTACCACAGTGATATCTACTGAAGGTGAAAAACTACATTTTAATATTAAAGTTTCAAAACCCATCTCTTACACAGCTCAAAACCAAATCAACACAAAAATGAATCTCTCTAGTTTGCTTTTTAAATTTTGCATCTAAAAAAAAAAGGGAACTATATATAAAAGAAGAACAGGATAGGAAAAAAAAATGTGGCAAGGAATCTAACTGCTAAATTAGAGATTAGAAGAATTTGATAGGAGTAACTCATGCTTCAAATCTTAGTTTCATCACAAATGACAGGTCAATCAGTTAGAACCAATGAAAAAATTTTGCAAACAAGATAGCTGTTAAAACAACCAAATTAGGCTACAGGTTCTCAGTAGGCAGTTTTCAATGCTCTAGATGTATTTCAGGCATTATCATTACCCCAGATGATTAGTTGCCCCTAATCAAACAGAATTTTTTAGTTAGGAAAATTGTATCAGAAATCTGATCTTTGGAAATAATACAGAGAGTAAGAATAGGAGATAGCAATTGGAAAGAAACTAACCTGCCCTGTGATTCTGCCTAGTAAGGCCCAAATTCCCTGCCCTTCACTTCGAAGTTTTCCATTCAGGTTCTGTAGTTCTTCTAAAGATTCACAGAGCTACAATGTAAATAATCCGAATCAGTAAACCATTAAAATACATAGTAAAACATGGGAAAATTTAAATAATTTATCAACAAATGTCCAAAAGTATCTGTATTGATAATCCATATTTTTAACATGTTTTGTCATGATACCCTGAGAGGAGGCTATCCAGTTATTGAATAAGCAGCACCAATAAGATATAAGCATTTTGTTTCATGTTAGCATTTTTACTGATAATATCTATATTTATCATTGCGTTATAGTTTTCTACATAATTTCAAACACATTCTGCTAATTAATCCTTGAGTTTTTAAAGATGCATTTCGACCATTTTCTCAATGAGAAAACTAAGGATCATAGGATTTCTGTGACTTGACCAAGATCATAGAACTAGCAAGAATCCCCAGGTCTTCTGAATATAATCCCAGTACTCTTTTCTTTCACTACAGTGTGGCTGATATTGGAAACGTACCTCTTACTAATTTTTTATCACTTAAAATGTTATCTAACAATAAGTCAGTATCAGCTTTGAATACTTGTGTTACTTATTCCCTAACATTTTAGCCACACCTGCTTTTATAGGATATTTCTTTTGATCTCCCTCATCATTACAATGAAGATGCAGAATGGAAATTTAAATTGGGAGGTATTTTTCTTAAATCAAAAGTAACATCGCAAAACAATTCAAGATAAAAACAGTAATGTAAAGGAAGTTTCTAAGTTTTCTACAGACTTAGCAAAGTTCTATAGTACCCTAGTTAGGAACAAGGAATGGAGTCAGATTGGCCTCAAACCCCAACTCTATGACTTGACTACCTATGTGAGTCTGGGCAAATAACTTCACCTCCTTAGCCTCTAAAAATTGGAGCCATAATTATAGCTCACATTATAAAACTGAAGTGAAAATTATATGAGTTAATATATGTAACATGCTCAAATTGTACCTAGCACATAGGAAGTACTTAGTTTTATGGATGATAATGAAGACAGTAAAATAGGAAGTGTAAAGAAGGGCCTAAACACTTCATAAGAATTTCAAAATGAGACATAAATAGAAAATCCCTAAAGTAACAAATAACATCATCAATAGGTCTATAATACCATGTTGTTTTGTAACCAACTTACCTTATTATATTCCACGTGGAGCTTTTCCTGTTCGTTCTCTAATTTATCCTTTATATTCTTTTGTTCAGCCATATTTTCCTGAATTTGAATCATGCGCATATTTCTCTCTATTTAAATTAAATATCCAATTTTACTTTAGTAGAAAATAAAAGCTGATTTACAAAACACACAAAGGAAGAAGACAGCCATAAAGATCACATGGATAATCTTACATTGTTTACAACACTTTTAACCCTATTCACAAATACAGGAACTCAGCATTTTGTAACAACCCACAACTTACTAGGAAAATAAACATGCTTTTTCCTTAATATATTTAGCATGGCTAATAAATATCTAAAAATTGACAGTATAACAAATATTTTCAATAGCAAATTGTTCTCATTGACAATGTGCATATATTAGTGTCTATACTGACCAAAATAATAATTCACAAAATCAGCAGTGAGAGCAGGTTGCTTATGCTTTCTCCTTCCATCCACACTAGAACTAGTATCTGAATTGTCCACTGGAAAGATATCTGTACTGATCCCCATTAGCTCTGCTTTCCGCATCAGCTTACGAATGGCTGAAGCACTGCTAGTGAGCGGTCTGGGCAATTTTTCCCTTGGAACCCAGGCCTGGGGTCTAGTAGATCGAGCTAGTTCTGCTTTGGCACGATACTGCTGAAGCCGGGCATTGATCCTTGCCTATAAGAGAAATGCATACAAATTTTAAAAGATATTAAAATGTAACATATTCCCTATGATTTCTACTTGCATGCTTAGAGAAAGTAAAGATAACCAGAATTTCCTATATCAAGGTAAGTTATATCTATCCACAGTTATTAAGATATACTATTATTATTCTTGGGTTACAATAAAGTAGGTCTACTCCTAGTAACTATTCTATGTCCTAATCTATGATCAGAGTTGTCAGCAACTAATTTGATTAAACTGAAATTTCTCTTCTCAGTAACTCCAAGTCTCTATAAATTCATCTTAATTTACCTAGAAATACATTTTAAAAGATGGGCAAACTGATCAGATCCTTTACATAAACAAACAATGGAATAGACTGAAAAAAGGTATGTCCAATATACTGCACTGATAGAATAATTTCCTCTAAGCCCCATTTTTCAATGTATTTGGAAATATGCTTCATAAAAGGCTGCTCTGTTGACTAGATGAGGGGTACTCATCAGCTACAGACTACACTCACCATTTACCTTAATTACAATCCACTTCCTAGGTAACTAACCACATTTCATAACTATACATCACATATCATTGGCACACACACACAAGATCTAAAATCCATAACCTTGAAAGAAAAAACATGACTTTTGGCATGAATCCCATACCTGTGCTTCTGGTGACAGTTGCTTCTCCCTCTCTTGCAAAGACATTTTACAATAGGATTGTAGAGCCAAGTAGTTTTTTCTCTTCCATTTTCTGTCTAACCTATCTGCATGCTGCTTACAATAAGCAAAAAATGGATCTGCTATATCCTATACCAAAAAACAGAAGGGGGGGGAGTGAACATTTTTACTACAAAGGGTCATAAACAAACTAACACAAGAGATAATATTTCCTTTTTGAAGAATCTCCTATAGTGTTGATATTTCTAAAATAAATTACAAAAGTAATTTTTACCCATAATGAAAAAAATTGCTACTTTTGAAACTTAATCTTGTATATCAACCTCAAATTAACAACCACTTTTTTCCTTATAGAGAAATCAAATCTTATACATTGTACCTTGTGTACCTAAAAAAATAATCCCTGTTTAAAACAAATAAGATTTTAATAATCTTAGGTAGTGGTCCTTATTAAATATTAAAGTTATGCATATACGGATTAATATTATAAGACAATATACCCAGAAAATACAGGACTAGCCAACACAGATTAAGTGGAGCATTTTTAACTGGCTAGCAATGAATGCATGGACATATTCTACCCAGGACAACTGAACGCGTTAAGTATCACCATTAACTCTTTATATAACTGTAAAACCTCAAATGGAAAACAGAGGTCTCTCACACCCATCTCTCATGATACTAACCTAATGGGTTACTCTTTTTATTCATAAGGAGTAGGGTAGGTAGGTAGGAAGGAAGGAAAGGAGGGTGGGAAAAGAAAAGAGAAGAGGAGATAAAAGAAGAGAAAAGAGAAAAGAAGAAAAGAAAAGAAAATTTACTCTATCAAAAAAATAATTTGTAAGGGCGCCTGGGTGGCTCAGTTGGTTAAGCGACTGCCTTCGGCTCAGGTCATGATCCTGGAGTCCCGGGATCGAGTCCCACATTGGGCTCCTGGCTCAGCGGGGAGTCTGCTTCTCCCTCTGACCCTCTTCCCTCTCGTGTTCTCTCTCATTCTCTCTCTCTCAAATAAATAAATAAAATCTTTAAAAAATAATAATAATTTGTAAATAGCCAAACCATGTAAACTGCATTGTAACTGCCAACAAAATAATGGGGAGTTCATTCTTTAGATCTGTCCTAAGGAGGAGAAATAAAGATAAGCTCTCCATACAGTTTTTATATAAGTTATGTTAAAAGGGTGTCTTAGAGTACGGTGGGGTTTTACAACCCAAAGAGAAATGATGACACTAAAAAAGCAGCAAATGAAAAAGAACAGAAAGGGACATAATAATAATAATAATAATAATAATAATAACAGCAACAACAATAAATTTAAGGTAACCTTAAAATAAAGTACATGATTCAATTCTGTAGTGTGATATCCACAGATGTCACAATATAGCACTGTGGATACCACGGAATTTGGAAACACAAAAGCCTGCAAATCTTGGGTCAGCTCCAAAATTTATGGGTTTTACAGCTTCAAACAAGTTGCTACACATCTCTGGGTCTCTTAACTTATTCGTAAAACAGATTTAATAATAACTACTTCGTATAGTTATAAAAGTAAAGAAACAAAAAGGTAGGTAGGAGATTGTTAACACACACACACACACACACACACACACACACACACATGCACACACAGCTGCCTTCTCATGACATGCTGTAAATCTTGGTGACAGATGATGATAAATGAAAATAAAGATTATATTGAACCTCAGCCAAAATGGCCAGATCTAGAGAAGTATTTTATTGTTTTAAAGTAGGTAAGGTTGAAACTGAGTTATCAGAAGTAGGATTCATGCTTACATAGCTGAATTAAACCTTAGGGCCAAGACACTGAATTAGGAAAAAGACCAGTCATCTCTGGTCTACAAGATAGCTGAAAAGGAACAAGTAACCCAGGTAATTTTTTAAATTAATTAATTTGGGATTGGAGGACAATAAACCTAATTCTAAGGCCAGAATGATCAAGGAATTAATGTTGTTCAGAGAATGAAGAGATATAACAAGCAAATAACTATGAGAAAAACCACTGTCTTCCAGTATCTATTCTCCCCGTCTTCCCCTTAGTAGAACCCTTCGAGTTTTTACCGAGTAAATGGTTACCCTGCCAGAAACTCTCTGCTCCAGCCTCCTTGCATTTAGATATGGCCATGTGGTAAGTTCTGGAAAATGAGAGGGGTGAAAATTCCAGACTATGACCTTGAAAGGGAACTGCCTACTCTTAATCTTCTCTTTCCCCCTTCCAATGGGTGGAACCCAAAGTAGAGATAAACCATCTCTGACGTGTAAGAAAGTACAACAGACTAAAGGAAGATGAAACAACAATAAAAGCACCTAATCCCTGGAACCAGACTCCCCCGAATATCAAATCAGTCTAGAATCTTGTATTAGAGCTAATTCAACTTCTTCGTTCTTTAAACCACTAATTATTTGGGTTTTTTAAACCAGTTGAAATAGTGTCCTAATTAATGTATTGGTTAACTTGGAATATCCTTTCAAACTGCTTAGAGAAATGGAACTTTCAAGAAAGTTTCCCAATGGAAAAGGGAAAGATAAAAACATTTATCTGAATGTCTACTATGTGCCAGGCACAGGTGCCTTTTAACATACTATCTCACTTATTCTGTATCACTACCACTTGAGGTAAGTTATTATTTTAATATCAATTTTATGGATAGAAAACTGAAAATGAGAGAGGTTAAGTTGATGACCCAAGACCCATGGCTAATAAGTAAGATCTCTCTTTTCAACCACTACCTGACTGATTAGATTCATTTAAGGAGGTCTCTAAATAGACATGAGTAAAGCCCAACTCTGGGAGATTCTGATTCAGTAAGTCTAAGGCAAAGGTTTTAAATGAGAATGCTTTGAGAAACAGTACCAATAAACATAAATGAGTAAAGGAGGCTTGAAAGAAGCTATAAAATTACAAGACAAAAGTAAATGATGTTGGGGGAAAGGGGAAAATAATGAGAAAATGAGAACTGTAGGGTTTGTGACAAACTGGAATGTCCCACTTATAAAAGCATTCATATTCAAGACTTTATAACACCTCCCATCAAACAAAATCTATTCACAGGTCAAATTTAGTCTGTGGGCCTCTGGATTGCATGATTTAGTCTAAAATCTTTTAAAAAAAAATTTTTTTTTTTAAACAAAGCTCAAGTTTAAAAACAGTGTATTTTTAAGCAAGTAAAAGATGCTTTATTGGTATCTTGATAATAAAACTGAAGTATGTATTGAAACCAGAAAAGTGTAAATACTACAATAAGTTAGGAGCATATGTGTCTTCCAATTGTAACACCATCAATGTTCTTGTCTATCACACCTCAACCACCTAATTGCCATGACTATACCTACATTCTGCATTCTCTCCATAATTTAACGCCTAAAATATCATTCTCTGAGCATCACCTTTTATCTGTCCTGGTCACTCCATCTGAGACTCAAGTTTCTAACACATTTGGATCTTCAGGGTACTGACTTTCCACCTCCTGACTGCCTACAGCCCACGCACATCAGATGACCCCCCATCTTTACCTGACTATTCCATCAGTTCATTACTCTTCTGCACGGAGCAAGGACTCTTTCTTGTCCTCATCTAGTTTCACTTAACAAAACCTGAAGCACAGGTAACTCCAACTCTCCCCTGTACTTTGCACTTGTACCTGAGCAGCTGAACACATTCTCAAATTAATTTATTCTCCATTTTCATAGGTAACTATTGAATAACTTCATCTCTCCCTCAGATCTTCACTAGCTCCTCCTTATTCCTGACTTGCAGATGCTGACCATGTTTTTTTCACTAGAGAGGGTTGGGAAGGGAGGAAAAAAGCAACAAAGTGACAATTTCCATAACCTCCAATCACTGATTACATCAATGTATCTGCATCCACATCCATATCCTGCCTGATCTTCTGTTACTATGGATAAACTGACCATTGTTCTTGTTTAAGATTAACTTTCTTTCCTCTATCAATTCAACTTCTCTCCTGCATTTTTTCCTCTCTACTGGATCACTCCCTTCAGCATATTTGAGCATACAGCATACAAAACATACTGTAATTATCTTTTTTAAAGCTTTAAAGATCTTCTTTGGGCTCCCATATGCTGCTCAACTTCTAAACTCCTCTTTAAAGGAAAATTCTAAAGGCCTGTCCATATTAGCTATCTTTAATTCTATTCCACTCCCAAGTTTTCATGACTACTACCAACCACTTTCACCCTTCCCTCCTATGGTCTCAACACAATTGGTGGTCCTTTTAGACATTAGTTGGTTCACATGTACTCTATGAAAAACTCTTAGGGCTTTCCATCTCACAGTAAAAATCCAAAGTCCTGGGCGCCTGGGTTGCTCAGTCAGTTAAAACATCTGCCTTTGGCTCAGGTGGTTCTGGGATTGAGTCCCACGTCGGGCTCGAAAAAACTCCAAAGTCCTTCCCATGTTCTTCCAAGTCCTACACGATATTCTACGACCATCTTCCTCCCCTCTTACCAACCCTAGTCCCTAACTCTGTACCAGCCTCACCAGTCTCCTTGTTGGTCCTCAAACCAAGCATGTTCCTATCTCAGTCTCTGCATATTCTGTTCCCTCTACCTGTAATGCTCTCCTCTCAAATAAACAGATGTTCCCTACCACCTTCCTTACATATTTTCATAAAATCTCACCAGCATTACCCTACCCCCTTACTCTCTAAATACTTTACCTTGCTTTGTATTTTTTCACAGTACTTATCACAACGTTGGTTTTTGTTTTTTTTGTTTTTGTGCTGTCCTCTCCCCACCTGCCACTCAAATGTAAGCTACCTTAAAGAACATATGTTTTGTCTGTTTTCTTCAATGCCATCTGTATAGGGTCTGTAACAATGCTTAATACCAACAGGTCAATATATCTGCTGAACAAATATACTGAATAAATGAGAATAAAACACATTAATTTGCAATCCTTAAATGCTAAATGTAAAATATAGATAATGTAAAAAAAAAAATAGTAAGTCCTTATAGATAAAAAAAATAGAAGTTTCTGATTCTTCCAGGAAAATTTCTTTCTGTATTTGTATTACTTTTTGTCCATACTAGACACTTGTGACATCTTTTAATATCATCCTGTATGGTTGTTTAACATTTCACTGTGTTTA